AAAAGATAAAAAAAAAGAGAGAATAATACAAGTAAGAAAAAGTAGAAAGAGAAAGAATCGCATACAGACATACGCGAAACGTATTATTATCGATAAAAATAGATATAATCGTGGATTGTAGGAAAAAAAAAAAAAAAAAAAAAAGAAAAAAAAAGAAAGAGACCTGCATCATTCACAAAGTTAAATTGCTTCAGTAATTATAAAATAATTTCAATTAATTACGATTACTCTCTATGATGAATGATACACATTTGTCGTTATTCGTGCGATAATATATATATTTCTTATATTACTTGAATATAATACATAAATTACTTTATTAATTAAAACAAATAAAAATGACTTGACAATAATGATTCTTAATCGTAATAAATACATCGTTTATTTTCAATCGATTGAAATCGAAAAAAAAGGAATTTGTAAAATGTCCAAATTACGAATTATGCTTATGAAAAAGAGCCTGGCAATTAGAAAAATGTTAAATAACAAAAAGAATTTTGTATTCGTTGAAAGATCTACTTCGTTAGTGTTCTTTGTAATGTATTAACCGACCTAGTACATACGTACTAGACTTTATATCCATCGTACGAGTTTCAAAAGTAGAGACGCGCAAAATCAACGCCACGCGATGTGTCACGTAACGTTGTTAACGCGAAAGGAGATGATTGCATCGCGCATAATGAAGAAGCACCGGAGTTTGTCCGTCTCTAATGAAATCGTATAAAGCGGAACGTGCCGATGTACTTAACAACCGGAAACACCGTTGTTCCCACTATTCAAATTGGATAATGCAATTTACGTTAATTGTGACTTCAAATGGTACCGGTGAGATGTGAGAGAGAGAGAGAGAGAGAGAGAGAGAGAGAGAGAGAGAGAGAAAGAGAAAAAGATAAAGAGAGAAACAAGGCTTGAAAGGAAGCACAAAGAAGAAATCTATGAGGACACATTACATCTATCTCTCTCTTTCTCTGATAAAGAATATCTAGGTTCGTTAAGTTCTTTGTATAATTTGTTATATGTATCGTTAGTATATGATATTAATTAATCAAAGATATGTTTCTTCGAGTATTATAAATTTTCTTCAAGTAAAATTATTGTCGTTTGTTCATAATAATTATCGTTATTTATTTATTTCTTTATTTATTTATTTATTTATCTTGTTTTCTTTATTATTCTTTCTTTTCGTTTTCATCGATTATTAAATAATTATTGCCAGATTAAACGAATAAATATTATACGTTAATTAATTTTTTCAAATCGTATTATTAATTTTGATAGATCAATTTTGCATATTTTTATCGGCATCATTCCATCATCATCATTCTTATAAATTATAAATCGACAAAATGCATAGAGATAAACAACTCACCTTTTCTAGGAATCTCAGTGGTCGATGGGCTTGGACTGGTGCTCGGTGGTGGTGATTCTATAAAACAAAAAAAAAAAGGAAAAAAATAAGAAAAAAAGATATAGAAAATTTCATGTGAAATAATTACGTGCTCTCGAAAGGCATCATAGAATATTTTGGACGATACATTTTGTTTTTTTTTTTCTCTTTTTTTGTTTAACAAATTGACTTAAGAATGAGATAAATATTTTTGTTTGCTCATTGAAAATCATCATATAGACAGATAGTTCCTATCTAATTCTTTAATGGAGAAAGGAAAAGGTTTAGTTGAGTTTAGGGTAGTAGACTTGGTTGAGAGTGAGAGAGAGAGGTATAGTGAAAGGAGCAAGAACAGTTATGGATCGCGCCACCTGTTACTAACTTCGTCCTGAAACGTATTAGCCATCGTGGCGTCGACCGAGGCCGGCCAAACTAGAGATCATATTTTACCTCCTGAGCATTCTCATGCCTCCGTTTCAACCCTCTCTCTCTCTCTCTCTCACTCTCTCTCACTCACTCACTTACTCTCTCTTACTCTCACTCTCTCTGTCTCTCTCTCTCTCTCTCTCTCTATCCGACTCTCTCACGTTGGCCACCTCTTACAATCTCGTAGCGTCCCTTACCATCGTCTCGATGAATATACTTGAATAATTATTCCTAATTTCGTCATTCGTCCTGCACGTGTCGTATTCCTCGTCTGAATTTACTACTTGCTCCAGTAGTAGTAGTAACCAGAATCTAGTCGGACATCGGTTAATATACAAGGGAGAAACGTGTCAGTAATTTTTCGAAGACATGGCGACTGGACTTGTATTTTTTTGTTTTGTACGTTTTGTACGTTTTCTGTCGTTTTTTAATCTTTTTTTTCTTCTTTTTGTTCTTTTTTTTTCCTTTTTTTTTTTTTTTTTTTTTTTTTTCTTCAAGAAATTGCTTCTCTTCTTTCTTTTTTCTCTTTTCTCTTCTTTCTCTTTTCTTTCTCCTTTCTTTTTTTTTCTTTTTTTTTTTTTCTTTTTTCTTCGTCGAGCATTTTAATAAATCGATGATAATAAGACGATAAACGATCATTTTCGTTGAACGATTTTATGCACACAGTTTGTGATAATACAATTATAA